GCGGGCAGTGAGTACGTCTTCTCCATGGCTGGCCGCCGGGGGGCTCCGCGCAGGCGGGGGCAGACGCGGGTGCCCCGCGATTCACGCTGGAACCATCTGTGCTCCGAGGAGGTGGTGGACGGTGCCTGGGTGAGTCAGGCAGCTCCTGGAAAAAGCGGATGAAGTGATTCAGGGGGGTTTGGGGAGGAGCAAGGAGAGCGCTGCTCACCGTCATCACCGCCCGCATCCTGCTCCCTGCCTGGATGACCCACTGGCGGCACTGGGACCGGCTGTGGGGCCAGCAGCGCAGCCCTCTCCCCCCCAGCTGCCCCTTTGCCAGCCCACCAGTGCCCAGGGCAGGTGCCCACCTGACTGTTTCCAGTCATCCCCATCTCTCAGAGCCAAGTTCCACAGCACACTGTGACCCACTCCCTTCCTGTGGGGTGGGGGACAGGCACAGGGCTCCCAACACCTCTAGATGGGAGTATCAGGGTGGGGGAGATTGGGAAGGAGCTTGGGAGGGATTGTTGGATCGGGGAGAGCCGCGTGGGGTTTCAGTGGGCTGTGCTGCCTTGCAGGGCATTGTGCCGTGTTGCATTTCATTGCGTTGGGCGCCTTGGGTTGCCTTGGGTGGGGTTGAATCATGCTGGGTTGGGTCGTGTTGCACCGCATGGTGACAAACTGTGTTGCATTGGGCTGTGGGTGCAAAGTCAACTCCAGTGTGGGGGCTCCCAACCCTATCAGCATCTCACAGAGACCCCCCCAGCTCCACCAGCTCCCTCCAGCAGCCAGTGCTGGCTGCTGCGGGCGCTGGATTCTGGCAGGGGGGCTGTGCCGGGGAGAACAGGGGCTGCTGTGAGGAAGTGGGAGCGGGGAAATGGATGAGTCTGGGGTGGGGGCTTCCAAAGCGGACACAAGTCCCCTTGCTCAGCAATGCCTTTGGGAGCCCCGGGATTTGGCTTCGTGGGAGGACGCGGCAGGGACTCCAAGCAGCAGAAGAGGAGGGGGAGAAGCAGCTGGTACCCCTCCCCAGCCCCCAAAGCGGGTGCCCTCCGCAACTTGGGCAAAGTTGTGTCGCTGCTGCCACCGGGCTGCGTCGCGACGGGAGGAGCCCGCGGCGGCAGCACCGAAAGTTTGCGGGGCCAGGAGCAGGCACGGGAGCGGGCGAGGGGCTGCCGGGTGCGTGGGTGCTCGCAGGGGGCTGAGGGGTGCCCGGGATGCTGAGGGGAGCTCTCCGGGCTGCGCGCGGGGATGCTGATGAGCAGGCAGCTCGGCGGATGCTCCCCGGGATGCTCCGGGAGCGCCCAGCGGGAAGCTCGGGGGATGCTGGCGGGGAGGCTCCCCGGGCTGCTCGCGGGGAGCTCCCGGGGCTGCTGCCCGGGGGCTGCTCG